GAATGATGGCGAGGACCGGATGGAATGATGGCGAGAACCGGATGGAGGCTGAGGATGGAATGATGGCGAGAACCGGATGGAATGATGGCGAGGACCGGATGGAATGATGGCGAGAACCGGATGGAATGATGGCGAGGACCGGATGGAATGATGGCGAGACCGGATGGAATGATGGCGAGAACCGGATGGAATGATGGCGAGGACCGGATGGAATGATGGCGAGACCGGATGGAATGATGGCGAGGACCGGATGGAATGATGGCGAGGACCGGATGGAATGATGGCGAGAACCGGATGGAATGATGGCGAGGACCGGATGGAATGATGGCGAGAACCGGATGGAATGATGGCGAGGACCGGATGGAATGATGGCGAGGACCGGATGGAATGATGGCGAGGACCGGATGGAATGATGGCGAGGACCGGATGGAATGATGGCGAGGACCGGATGGAGGCTGAGGATGGAATGATGGCGAGGACCGGATGGAATGATGGCGAGGACCGGATGGAATGATGGCGAGGACCGGATGGAATGATGGCGAGGACCGGATGGAATGATGGCGAGAACGGATGGAATGATGGCGAGAACCGGATGGAATGATGGCGAGGACCGGATGGAATGATGGCGAGGACCGGATGGAATGATGGCGAGGACCGGATGGAATGATGGCGAGGACCGGATGGAATGATGGCGAGGACCGGATGGAATGATGGCGAGAACCGGATGGAATGATGGCGAGAACCGGATGGAATGATGGCGAGGACCGGATGGAATGATGGCGAGGACCGGATGGAGGCACCGGATGGAATGATGGCGAGGACCGGATGGAATGATGGCGAGGACCGGATGGAATGATGGCGAGGACCGGATGGAATGATGGCGAGGACCGGATGGAATGATGGCGAGAACCGGATGGAATGATGGCGAGGACCGGATGGAATGATGGCGAGGACCGGATGGAATGATGGCGAGGACCGGATGGAATGATGGCGAGGACCGGATGGAATGATGGCGAGGACCGGATGGAATGATGGCGAGGACCGGATGGAATGATGGCGAGGACCGGATGGAATGATGGCGAGGACCGGATGGAATGATGGCGAGAACCGGATGGAATGATGGCGAGGACCGGATGGAATGATGGCGAGGACCGGATGGAATGATGGCGAGAACCGGATGGAATGATGGCGAGGACCGGATGGAATGATGGCGAGGACCGGATGGAATGATGGCGAGAACCGGATGGAATGATGGCGAGGACCGGATGGAATGATGGCGAGGACCGGATGGAATGATGGCGAGGACCGGATGGAATGATGGCGAGGACCGGATGGAATGATGGCGAGGACCGGATGGAATGATGGCGAGGACCGGATGGAATGATGGCGAGGACCGGATGGAATGATGGCGAGGACCGGATGGAATGATGGCGAGGACCGGATGGAATGATGGCGAGGACCGGATGGAATGATGGCGAGAACCGGATGGAATGATGGCGAGGACCGGATGGAATGATGGCGAGGACCGGATGGAATGATGGCGAGGACCGGATGGAATGATGGCGAGAACCGGATGGAATGATGGCGAGGACCGGATGGAATGATGGCGAGAACCGGATGGAATGATGGCGAGGACCGGATGGAATGATGGCGAGAACCGGATGGAGGCTGAGGATGGAATGATGGCGAGAACCGGATGGAATGATGGCGAGGACCGGATGGAATGATGGCGAGGACCGGATGGAGGCTGAGGATGGAATGATGGCGAGAACCGGATGGAATGATGGCGAGAACCGGATGGAATGATGGCGAGGACTGGATGGAATGATGGCGAGGACCGGATGGAATGATGGCGAGGACTGGATGGAATGATGGCGAGGACCGGATGGAATGATGGCGAGGACCGGATGGAATGATGGCGAGAACCGGATGGAATGATGGCGAGGACCGGATGGAATGATGGCCAGAACCGGATGGAGGCTGAGGATGGAATGATGGCGAGAACCGGATGGAATGATGGCGAGGACCGGATGGAATGATGGCGAGGACCGGATGGAGGCTGAGGATGGAATGATGGCGAGAACCGGATGGAATGATGGCGAGGACCGGATGGAGGCTGAGGATGGAATGATGGCGAGAACCGGATGGAATGATGGCCAGAACCGGATGGAGGCTGAGGATGGAATGATGGCGAGAACCGGATGGAATGATGGCGAGGACCGGATGGAATGATGGCGAGGACCGGATGGAATGATGGCCAGAACCGGATGGAGGCTGAGGATGGAATGATGGCGAGAACCGGATGGAATGATGGCGAGGACCGGATGGAGGCTGAGGATGGAATGATGGCGAGAACCGGATGGAATGATGGCGAGGACTGGATGGAATGATGGCGAGGACCGGATGGAATGATGGCGAGGACCGGATGGAATGATGGCGAGGACCGGATGGAATGATGGCGAGGACCGGATGGAGGCTGAGGATGGAATGATGGCGAGGACCGGATGGAATGATGGCGAGGACCGGATGGAATGATGGCGAGGACCGGATGGAATGATGGCGAGGACCGGATGGAGGCTGAGGATGGAATGATGGCGAGGACCGGATGGAATGATGGCGAGGACCGGATGGAATGATGGCGAGGACCGGATGGAGGCTGAGGATGGAATGATGGCGAGGACCGGATGGAATGATGGCGAGGACCGGATGGAATGATGGCGAGGACCGGATGGAATGATGGCGAGGACCGGATGGAATGATGGCGAGAACCGGATGGAATGATGGCGAGGACCGGATGGAATGATGGCGAGAACCGGATGGAATGATGGCGAGAACCGGATGGAATGATGGCGAGGACCGGATGGAATGATGGCGAGGACCGGATGGAATGATGGCGAGGACCGGATGGAGGCTGAGGATGGAATGATGGCGAGGACCGGATGGAATGATGGCGAGAACCGGATGGAATGATGGCGAGGACCGGATGGAATGATGGCGAGGACCGGATGGAATGATGGCGAGGACCGGATGGAGGCTGAGGATGGAATGATGGCGAGGACCGGATGGAATGATGGCGAGGACCCGATGGAATGATGGCGAGGACCGGATGGAGGCTGAGGATGGAATGATGGCGAGGACCGGATGGAATGATGGCGAGAACCGGATGGAATGATGGCGAGGACCGGATGGAGGCTGAGGATGGAATGATGGCGAGGACCGGATGGAATGATGGCGAGGACCGGATGGAATGATGGCGAGGACTGGATGGAATGATGGCGAGGACCGGATGGAATGATGGCGAGGACCGGATGGAATGATGGCGAGGACCGGATGGAATGATGGCGAGGACCGGATGGAATGATGGCGATGACCGGACGGAATGATGGTGAGAACCGGATGGAATGATGGCGAGGACCGGATGGAATGATGGCGAGAACCGGATGGAATGATGGCGAGGACCGGATGGAATGATGGCGAGGACCGGATGGAATGATGGCGAGGACTGGATGGAATGATGGCGAGGACCGGATGGAATGATGGCGAGGACCGGATGGAATGATGGCGAGGACCGGATGGAATGATGGCGAGGACCGGACGGAATGATGGTGAGAACCGGATGGAATGATGGCGAGGACCGGATGGAATGATGGCGAGAACCGGATGGAATGATGGCGAGGACCGGATGGAATGATGGCGAGGACCGGATGGAATGATGGCGAGAACCGGATGGAATGATGGCGAGAACCGGATGGAATGATGGCGAGGACCGGATGGAATGATGGCGAGGACCGGATGGAATGATGGCGAGAACCGGATGGAATGATGGCGAGGACCGGATGGAATGATGGCGAGAACCGGATGGAATGATGGCGAGGACCGGATGGAATGATGGCGAGGACCGGATGGAATGATGGCGAGAACCGGATGGAGGCTGAGGATGGAATGATGGCGAGAACCGGATGGAATGATGGCGAGGACCGGATGGAATGATGGCGAGAACCGGATGGAATGATGGCGAGGACCGGATGGAATGATGGCGAGGACCGGATGGAATGATGGCGAGAACCGGATGGAATGATGGCGAGGACCGGATGGAATGATGGCGAGGACCGGATGGAATGATGGCGAGGACCGGATGGAATGATGGCGAGAACCGGATGGAATGATGGCGAGGACCGGATGGAATGATGGCGAGGACCGGATGGAATGATGGCGAGAACCGGATGGAGGCTGAGGATGGAATGATGGCGAGAACCGGATGGAATGATGGCGAGGACCGGATGGAATGATGGCGAGAACCGGATGGAATGATGGCGAGGACCGGATGGAATGATGGCGAGGACCGGATGGAATGATGACGAGAACCGGATGGAATGATGGCGAGGACCGGATGGAATGATGGCGAGGACCGGATGGAATGATGGCGAGGACCGGATGGAATGATGGCGAGGACCGGATGGAATGATGGCGAGAACCGGATGGAATGATGGCGAGGACCGGATGGAATGATGGCGAGGACCGGATGGAATGATGGCGAGAACCGGATGGAATGATGGCGAGGACCGGATGGAATGATGGCGAGGACCGGATGGAATGATGGCGAGGACCGGATGGAATGATGGCGAGGACCGGATGGAATGATGGCGAGGACCGGATGGAATGATGGCGAGAACCGGATGGAATGATGGCGAGGACCGGATGGAATGATGGCGAGGACCGGATGGAATGATGGCGAGGACCGGATGGAATGATGGCGAGGACCGGATGGAATGATGGCGAGAACCGGATGGAATGATGGCGAGAACCGGATGGAATGATGGCGAGAACCGGATGGAATGATGGCGAGGACCGGATGGAATGATGGCGAGGACCGGATGGAATGATGGCGAGGACCGGATGGAATGATGGCGAGGACCGGATGGAATGATGGCGAGGACCGGATGGAATGATGGCGAGGACGGCGGCGGCTCAGTCAGCCAGCTGTTGCTGGCTCCTCCTACCTGGCTCCCGGAGCAGCAGCTGAGCCATGGCCTGAGAGCTGCCGGCTGAGTTCTCAGCGACGCACTGATAGAATCCTTCATCCGACTTGACCAGACCCAGGATCTGCAGGTTGGAGCCGTCCTGAGGATTAAGGAGGAAGCAGGTCAGCAGGTCAGCAGGTCAGCGGGTCAGCAGGTCAGCGGGTCAGCCTTTACTGCTCTGTGCTTTTAGGCCTTTAATGTACAGATTGGTAAACTGGCATCATGCTGGTTTTATCTTCCACTCCTCTGGGTTTAAATCTCTCTAAACCTTCATGTTTATCTGCTTCCCTCATGTTTCCCATTTTTCCATAAACGGACGAAAGAAGCTTTTCTCTATTGTCTCCTTTAAACGTCTCGGCTTTAAACCAGCCGAGTCCAGTTTGGTCCGTTTCTTTTATTCTTTCCTCAGAAACAACTAAATCCTCTAATGGTCAGTAGGAGGTTTAATGGTTACGGGTTCGGCTCATTGGATCACCTGCTGCTGATACTGGTTCTGGTTCTAGAAGACCAGGAGGAAACCTGGAGATCAGGACCGATCCACTTTAAGGTCTTAATCACAGCTTCAGCCGACGATTAGTTCAATAAAACTCCTGATGAGACTAAAACAGACCTGAGAGAAATCTGGACCCGGATCAGGATCTGGATCTGAATTGGATTTGGATAAAAAACTGGATCTGAACCCCAATGTGGACCCAGATCTGAATCAAGACCTGGATCTGGATCAACCTAGACTGACTTTGAATCAGATTCTGCTCTAAATTCAGAGCAGAATCTGATTTAAGACGTTTAGAAAAAATTCAAAGTGAATTTGTCTCTAAAAGTCGTTTTATTTCCACTTGCAGCAAAGTTCAGATGGTTCAGCTTCCAGGTCCAGACGAGTCCACTTTGTCGACTCTTTCAGAAAACCTGCTGTCCTTTCAAATGTAGCTTTTTATTAAAAGGTGCTTAAACTATTTTGTTAGAGGCGATTAGAAAATGTTCCTTATTTTCTGTAGAAATTTTGACCCAAAAGCAAACAGGAAGCGGAGGCGGGGGGTGGGGTGGGGGGCGGGGGTTCTGGAGCGTTTTCCGTGGAACTCACCACGATCTGGAAGTAGTCGCTGGGAATGACCTCCTCCCCGTTTTTCATCCAGCGGACGGCCGGCAGCGGGTTTCCCGTCACGGCGCACTCCAGCTCGATGTCGGTGGACTCGTAGGCGAAGGTGTTGGTCGGGTAGTTCAGGAACTGAGGCGGAACTGGGAGAAAGGAACCACAGGAACCAGGTTAGGACAGCAGGAGGTGGGAGGACTGGATCCAGACTGGTCCGGACCACCAGCAGAACAGTTTTGCTAAATCTGGATGATTCTGGTTGGTTCTGCTCCCTGGAAGTTCAAACTGAAGATGATGAAGATGAAGCCTATTAAACTCCTAAATATCACATCCGACCAGTAAACAGAGTCCCAGTACTGCTGTGGGGCGTTCGGGGTCTGGGCTCCACATGGAGGACACCTTCAGGTACCACCCACCCTGCTGTTATCTCCACTCTGACTCCTCCTCAGGGTTTTCTGGCAGACAGGAGGGGAGGGGCGGCGGCCATTTTTAACCTTATCATAGACCAAGATTAAACCTGACAGGCAGGTGGAGGCATCAGACCTGCAGGACGGGTTCTGGTCTCCAGATGACTGCTGGAGGCGGAGAACCATGACTGTCAAAGTTACAGGATACCAGCCCTCAGGAACTAGAATGAACCCCCCTGCTGTAGACCCAGTAGACCCTGTAGACCCTACAGACCCTGTAGACTCTGTAGACCCAGTAGACCTTGTAGACCCTACAGACCCTGTAGACTCTGTAGACCCAGTAGACCCTGTAGACCCTACAGACTCTGTAGACCCAGTAGACCTTGTAGACCCTACAGACCCTGTAGACTCTGTAGACCCAGTAGACCCTGTAGACCCAGTAGACCCTGTAGACCCTACAGACCCTGTAGACTCTGTAGACCCAGTAGACCTTGTAGACCCTACAGACCCTGTAGACTCTGTAGACCCAGTAGACCCTGTAGATCCTACAGACCCTGTAGACTCTGTAGACCCAGTAGACCCTGTAGACCTTGTAGACCCTACAGACCCTGTAGACTCTGTAGACCCAGTAGACCCTGTAGATCCTACAGACCCTGTAGACTCTGTAGACCCAGTAGACCCTGTAGACCTTGTAGACCCTACAGACCCTGTAGACTCTGTAGACCCAGTAGACCCTGTAGACTCTGTAGACCCAGTAGACCCTGTAGACTCTGTAGACTCAGTAGACCTTGTAGACCCTGTAGACCCTACAGACTCTGTAGACCCAGTAGACCTTGTAGACCCTACAGACCCTGTAGACTCTGTAGACCCAGTAGACCCTGTAGACCCAGTAGACCCTGTAGACCCTACAGACCCTGTAGACTCTGTAGACCCAGACCTGTAGACCCAGACCCTGTAGACCCTGTAGAACCCTGTAGACCCTGTAGACCTCTGTAGACCCATGTAGACCCTGTAGACCAGTAGACCCAGTAGACCCTGTAGACCGCTAGACCCTGTAGACCCATGTAGACCCCGTAGACCTCCTGTAGATCCGTAGACCCTGTAGACCCTAGTAGACCCTGTAGACCCTGTAGACCTCGTAGATCCTGTAGACCCTGTAGACCCAGTAGACCCAGTACGTAACCCTGTAGACCCAGTAGACCAGTGACCCTGTAGACCGTAGACCCTGTAGACCCAGTAGACCTGTAGACCCGTAGACCTGCAGACCCTGTAGACCCAGTAGACCCAGTAGACCCTGTAGACCTGTAGACCCCGTAGACCCTAGACCGTAGACTCTGTAGACCCAGTAGACCCTGTAGACCCTAGACCCGTAGACTCTGAGACCTGTAGACCCTAAGACCCTGTAGACTCTGTAGACCCGTAGACCCAGTAGACCCTGTAGATCCGTAGACCCTGTAGACCCTGTAGACCTGCAGACCCAGTAGACCCAGTAGACCTGTAGACCCGTAGACCCGTAGACCCTGTAGACTCTGTAGACCCAGTAGACCGTGACCCGTAGACCCGTAGACTCTGTAGACCCTAGTAGACCCTGTAGACCCTTCAGACCCAGTAGACCCAGTAGACCCTGTAGACCCAGTAGACCCAGTAGACCCTGTAGACCCTGTAGACCCTACAGACCCAGTAGACTCTGTAGACCCAGTAGACTCTGTAGACCCAGTAGACCCAGTAGACCCAGTAGACCCAGTAGACCCTGTAGACTCTGTAGACCCAGTAGACCCGTAGACCCAGTAGACTCTGTAGACCCAGTAGACCCGTAGCAACCCGTAGACCCAGTAGACTCTGTAGACCCGTAGACCCGTAGACCCGTAGACTCTGTAGACCCTGTAGACCCGTAGACCCCGTAGATCATAGACCTGTAGACCCAGTAGACCCTGTAGACCCTGTAGACCTCGTAGATCCTGCAGACCCTGTAGACCCAGTAGACCCAGTAGACCCTGTAGACCCAGTAGACCCAGTAGACCCCGTAGATCCAGTAGACCCTGTAGACCCAGTAGACCCTGTAGACCCCGTAGATCCTGCAGACCCTGTAGACCCAGTAGACCCAGTAGACCCTGTAGACCCTGTAGACCCCGTAGACCCTGTAGACCCAGTAGACCCTGTAGACCCTGTAGACCCAGTAGACCCTGTAGACCCTGTAGACCCCGTAGATCCTGCAGACCCTGTAGACCCAGTAGACCCAGTAGACCCAGTAGACCCCGTAGATCCAGTAGACCCTGTAGACCCAGTAAACCCAGTAGACCCCGTAGATCCTGCAGACCCTGTAGACCCAGTAGACCCTGTAGACCCAGTAGACCCTGTAGACCCTGTAGACCCCGTAGATCCTGCAGACCCTGTAGACCCAGTAGACCCAGTAGACCCTGTAGACCCTGTAGACCCAGTAGACCCTGTAGACCCTGTAGACCCTGTAGACCCTGTAGACCCTGTAGACTCTGTAGACCCTGTAGACCCCGTAGACCCTGTAGACTCTGTAGACCCTGTAGACCCCGTAGACCCCGTAGATCCTGTAGAACCTGTAGACCCTGTAGACCCTACAGACCCAGTAGACCCAGTAGACCCTGTAGACCCAGTAGACCCAGTAGACCCTGTAGACCCAGTAGACCCAGTAGACCCTGTAGACCCTGTAGACTCTGTAGACCCAGTAGACCCCGTAGATCCAGTAGACTCTGCAGACCCAGTAGACCCTGTAGACCCTACAGACCCAGTAGACTCTGTAGACCCTGTAGACCCCGTAGACCCTGTAGACTCTGTAGACCCTGTAGACCCCGTAGACCCCGTAGATCCTGTAGACCCTGTAGACCCTGTAGACCCTACAGACCCAGTAGACCCAGTAGACCCTGTAGACCCAGTAGACCCAGTAGACCCAGTAGACTCTGTAGACCCAGTAGACCCAGTAGACCCAGTAGACCCTGTAGACTCTGTAGACCCAGTAGACCCTGTAGACCCTACAGACCCAGTAGACCCTGTAGACCCTGTAGACCCAGTAGACCCAGTAGACCCAGTAGACCCAGTAGACTCTGTAGACCCAGTAGACCCAGTAGACCCAGTAGACCCAGTAGACTCTGTAGACCCAGTAGACCCTGTAGACCCTACAGACCCAGTAGACCCTGTAGACCCTGTAGACCCAGTAGACCCAGTAGACCCAGTAGACCCAGTAGACTCTGTAGACCCAGTAGACCCAGTAGACCCCGTAGACCCAGTAGACTCTGTAGACCCAGTAGACCCAGTAGACCCAGTAGACCCTGTAGACCCTGTAGACTCTGTAGACCCAGTAGACCCCGTAGATCCAGTAGACTCTGCAGACCCAGTAGACCCTGTAGACCCTACAGACCCAGTAGACTCTGTAGACCCTGTAGACCCTGTAGACCCTGTAGACCCTACAGACCCAGTAGACTCTGTAGACCCTGTAGACCCTGTAGACCCTGTAGACCCTACAGACCCTGTAGACTCTGTAGACCCTGTAGACCCCGTAGACCCTGTAGACCCTGTAGACCCCGTAGACCCCGTAGATCCTGTAGACCCTGTAGACCCTGTAGACCCTACAGACCCAGTAGACCCAGTAGACCCTGTAGACCCAGTAGACCCAGTAGACCCAGTAGACTCTGTAGACCCAGTAGACCCAGTAGACCCAGTAGACTCTGTAGACCCAGTAGACCCTGTAGACCCTACAGACCCAGTAGACCCTGTAGACCCTGTAGACCCAGTAGACCCAGTAGACTCTGTAGACCCAGTAGACCCAGTAGACCCCGTAGATCCAGTAGACTCTGTAGACCCTCTCATAGGGTCAGTGTTGGAGTTATTATGATTTCTGTTGTTTTTATCATTTTATTCATTTATATCTTTTATATGTTTCTCTCATCATTGGAAATAGTGTATAAAGGCCATAAGACGGTCAAATGTTTTTCAAGAATGCGTTCCTGTTTTTCATTTGGGAAGCAGAGAAGTGAAAGGTCATAACCCGGACCCCGTGTGTAAAGCTGAAACCAGGCAGGTTCTCCTTCCTAAAGGTTCCTGCTGTGTCTAAGAGACGCGTAACGGAAGCTAACGCCTGCTGTTGTGATGCGTTGACTGCTCAGTAAAAAGCCTGGAAGTGTTGAACCAAGCGGAGATGCAGAGATTGATGCTCTGTCTCCACTTTGCAAAGCATTCCAGGAAAAATCTACGCTGTCTCTGTTTCATGTTTTACAGGTTGGGGAAACGTAACCGTAACAGTCAGCCAGGTTCTGAGGTCTGGTCCAGGAGTGTTTCGGTTTCAGATGCTAAACCAGCCTGCATAGATGTTCCTCTGAGATGTTTATTCCAGGATGATGTCAGCAGAGCAGCGCGGCTGGAGTTCAGGAAGCTCAGAGTCAGAGAGGAAGGAACCATCTGCAGCAGCTCCTCACTGCTCTGCTGGATGGTTTAGGTTTTTTCCACAGTGGCAGTCAGTGGGAGAGGTTTTCAAACTCACAACCTCAGGAAAGCTAAGCTCAGACCACCTGCCCTGATGGGCAGCCTGCAGCCGCTCAGACCTACGAGGCACAGATGGAGAAATGTCCCAATGTGACCCAGCAGGATGCTCAGCCAGACAGCTGCTGTTAGAATAATGGAAACGCAGCCGAGGGATTAATAAGAATATAAGTAGAAAATCAAAATCGTATTAAATTGTTCGGCTGACGAAGGTGGAACCAGAGTTTCACCTTTTAAGATGATTGTTCCAGTTTTAACATGAAAGTTTAATACAATAATCCAACATGTATGTAAGAGCTTAAAGTCCCGCCTCCCTGATCCGCCGCTGACCTCCAAACCAGCCGCTTAGTCACAGAGACACCATGGAGGTCCAGAACCGGGCCTCAGCAGAACCGGGCCTCAGCAGAACCGGGCCTCAGCAGAACCGGGCCTCAGCAGAACGGGACCTCAGGAGAACCGGGCCTCAGCAGAACCGGGCCTCAGCAGAACCGGACCTCAGGAGAACCGGGCCTCAGCAGAACCGGGCCTCAGCAGAACCGGGCCTCAGCAGAACGGGACCTCAGGAGAACCGGGCCTCAGCAGAACGGGACCTCAGGAGAACCGGGCCTCAGCAGAACCGGGCCTCAGCAGAACGGGACCTCAGGAGAACCGGGCCTCAGCAGAACCGGACCTCAGGAGAACCGGGCCTCAGCAGAACCGGACCTCAGGAGAACCGGGCCTCAGCAGAACCGGGCCTGGAGTGGACCCACAGGAAGCCATGCTGGTTACTGCATCACTAACATCCATTTGATGCTGCTTCACATTAAAGCTGAGAGAAGAACAGAAGTTATATTTGATCATAAAGGATCAAAGCATCGTTCTAAAGTCGCCTCAGAGATAAATCGACATGTTTTTAAAGAGATGTCGTCTAAAATCTGTCCTGCAGGCAGTTTGGGCTCCTGAGTTTCCAGGTGAACGTCCTTCCATTCATAACCAAACCTTTTATCTTCTGATCTTTCTATTTTTCTGAGGACTTTTCAGGGATTCCTGCGTTTTAGACGTCGATGGATGTTACTGGAAATAAGCTCCTTATGAAAACCAGTAAGAGTAACTGGTTCTTCCTCAGAGTTTAACACGCTGAGATGGACAGCTTTGCTATTTGCTCGTTTCATCTTCAGATGCAGCTCCCAGCAGAAGCTCTGACCTCACGCTGGTCGCCTTTAATAGACAGCAGCGGTTGTCGCAGCAACGCGGCGGCAGCGTAGATATGAATCCAGGGTAATTATCTCAGCGTGGGTCTCTGTGTCCGACAGCGCCGACCTATTTCTGCGAGGATGGATCCGGACTGAGCGGCTCTGAATCAGACCAGAACCATCAGACCAGAGCAGACGCACCGGATCAGAAAATCCCGTTTAACCAACGGTAGAAAGAAGCATTTATAACTTTAGGAAGAGGAAATGCATTAAAGGAAAATCACAAGGAAAACTAATAATAAAGCCAATAAATCAGCTCAGAGGTAAACAGCAGGACAGGAAGAGGAAACAGGAAGCAGTTCCTCTCTGAGCTCAGCGAGGTGGAGAGGAAACACAGCAGCAGACATTCCCAACATTCGCTCCATTCCTGAATTTACTGGATTTAAATCCTGGAAGTTTGAGGAAAAACGATCATCCAGGTTTGTTTGATTGATCAGATTTAGCAGAGACCTGATTAAAAGGCCAGCAGCTGCAGCAGATTAAAGACTTTCAACACCAGAGGATTCTGCTGGAAGGTTCTGCTGGTCGAACAGGAAATCAATCCTCTGGACTTTGTTTCCCAGTTTGAAGACGTTTCTCTTCCATCCAGGAAGATTTTTCAACTCAAAATGTCAGAAATAGTGTTGAGTTGAGTTGAAATGTTTTCTTGAGGATTTAATAAGAAAAAGATAACAACCAAAAATCCACAAAATCCAAAAATACTGAAAACCAGGAATACTGAAAACAACAAGGCGGCAAAGAAATGAGGACCGACCAGCAACGGCGACTGAGCAGGAGGAGAAACAAAGTCTACGTTCCACCGCAGGCCTTCATGCTCAATACCATTTTTTTGCATTGCCGTTTATATCTCCAAATAAATGCATCGTGTGTGACCTCATGTGTGAACTGCAGTAGAGGACGCGATGATGTCACAGGCCCAACCTATCAGCTCCATTTTTTTTTGGATCAGTTACTGTTCTGGAGTTAGAAACCCTGCCTAGAAATCCTAGACCTAGATCTTTGCTGTTTGACCTAACATGACTGCAGCGCCAGGATTTCTGGTAAAGAGTCAAGGACTCCAGAAGAAAAGCGGCATGGCGGCGTGGACTGGAACCATCTAAACCATTCTTTTTCAACCCTGGTCCTCAAGGCGCCCTGTCCTGCATGTTCTAGATGTTTCCCAGCTTCCACACACCTGTTATCGACTGATATCAGGCTTTGCTGAAGCTCAGAAACATCCAAAACATGCAGAGCAGATTGCCTTGAAGACTAGGGTTGAAAAACACTGATCTAAAGTGATAAAGCCAACTCAACGAGTCAGTTTATGGATGAAATGCAGAAATATTCTGATATTCAATCAACCAGTGAAAGAAGAACCTTCCTTCTTTCAGGGGGTTTTTCTCCAGACCCTAAAAACAGCAATTATTAAACAGAGAGACTTGAAAGCTGCTTCTGCAGAACCGCAGGGCAGTTTTCAGGTGTGAACAGAGGTCAGAGGTCAATGTTATGCTCTAAGCTTATTGTTTGCAGGCTAATGTCCACAGGTGGAGCCTCCATCCTTCTGCATGTCTGATGTCATCAGGAAACTGATGACTCGGTCTTTTCTTTGCAGAGTGTTGCTGATGGCAGCGGGGGGAAGATGACGGATGGCGCCGCTGCTGACTCAGTTTCTCTCAGATTTCATTAAGCTTCCTAACAGGAAGCAGCTAATGAGGCGGGCTGCTCTCATTATGACGGGGAAGAACACACACATTCGTTATCCTAATCATGCAATCACGGTCAGCGCCCTGAGGAGTCAGAACCCCCACATCTCCATACATCAGCGTCAGCGTGGAGATCAGCACCATCCTCCAGACGTCTCTGAACATGCAGACTGAGAGGAAACGGCGCTCGTTAGACGATCTAATCTGTAGATGATGCAGCCTTTACTCTGATTGGTCGCACGCTTTTCATCATGAACCCAGAGAACGCCTGCAGCACCTTAACTTTCCGCTCCTTCCTCCCTCTGATGAGTCTCAGCTGTTCCTTCCTCAGCAGGTGGAAACTCGCCGTATTCTGGGATGATTTTAGGAACGAGCCACAGAGAGAAGCAGCTGAAGGTTAATCTGCAGCTCTGCTGCTGAGCGTTGGACAAACAGCAGCTGCTGGTGTTTGGTTTGGACCTTCTGCTGGAGCAGAACCAACAGGAACCTGTTTGATGACCCAGAACCCTGAACCTTCGTCACGCTGCGACCGACTCGTCCTGAAGGACCTGAACCACGAGTTCCTTCAACGGAACTGAGAAACGGATCAGAACGTCACAGGAAACAGGAATATTCCTCATCGCCACATGAGGCCCTGCTGGTTTCTGCTGCTTCATGTCAGATTTAAGCAGATTAAGGCTGCGGCACGGCGGCATGCTGCGGGCCCGTTCTGTTCCTTAAACACCAGAAACATCTGGATCGTCCAAGAACGCGTCGCCTTCACCTCCTGCAAGCAGAGGACCGGGACCGACGGGGAACCGGATCAAACCGGAGCTCAGAAATATCCCGCCAGGCTGTGATTGGTTCCCACAGCGGCCCACTGGCGCCCGCAGCATGAGGAGGCCACCACCATGCCTCACTGATGGGTCCTCTGTTTTCAGCTTCAAACTCTACATGAGGCTCCACAGGTTTACATTACAGAAGAGACGATGACCTCATGGATGGTCAGAGTGATGAGGACCAATCAGAACGGCCCTTTCATTCAGGTCAGCAGGTTCCTGCCTTCATGTGGTTCCTGGAACATCCCTGCTTTATCTTCTAGATGGAAGAACGTCAGTATTTTCCCCCAGATGACCCAGACCAGCCGGCAGCCCTACTTGGACCCGGCGGAACCGACCCGGCGCCGGCGGCCATGTTGGATCCAAACAGTATTTCTGTGTTTCATCTCAGTAATAAAGTTTAAAGTTATTCCTTTTACTTCCTTTCAGATTATAATCCTTGTATCTAATCTCTGAGCTGGTTTTCTGAACCTGAAGCAGACCTGGAGATGGTTTCTGTGGTTAAACGATAGCGGTCAGCCTCAGGTGGCGAGGAGCAGCTGGAACGCTTCAGGCGCCACAGTCTGAAAACACAGATCTATTTTATTTATCGAACTTCATGTCTTCCTGATCCGGATTCTGCCAGGATTCCTAATCCATCCAGGAGCTTAAGGAAGCAACACGGCATTATTCTGGCGTTTTCCTCTGTGAGGCGCCAGCTGTTGACCTAAGGGTCGACCTGGGGTCACACCCGTTTAGATCAGACTCTCTGCTCCTGTTGATAAAAGCCGTTCATGAGCAGCGTCACACATAAACCTTCCTGCCGGTCTCCTCACCTAGGACGCTGAGTTCCGCCTGCGCCGTGATGTTCTGGTTCTTGTTGGACGCCGTGCAGCTGTAGGAGCCGGAGTCGTCGTCCGTGACGGTTCTGATGATCAGGTTGCTTCCCGCCAGCAGAGAGAACTTCTTGTTCCTGCAGAGAAAGAAGAAGCTGATCAATCATTTCCTAATGAAGTCTGTTTGAAGAACAGAGACAGCAGCCTGCTAGCCACACCGCTACCGTTTAGCTGGGGAGTTTACTTTGACTAGGCCAAAGGCTGCTTAGCCTCCTGCAAACATCGCCCTCTGCAGGATCATTGAACCCAACTTTCATTTCTGATTTAGGTAAAAATATTTTACTGTGAAAAGTTTAAACTTTTATTTTAATTTAAAAGTCTGGTTTTACTTAAGTTTAATGACAGAGTCAGACTTTTATTCTATTATAATAATGTAGAAAAACTTCTGCAATGATTTTACTCATGAGAGACGGAAGATGTAAGAACAACAGATGCGTCTTCAGTGCAGAACGTAAACAGCAAGACATGAACAGCATTACGAGACGGCGTGACACAAACGGCGTGACGCAAACAGCGTGACACAAACGGGGTGACACAAACGGCGTGACGTAAGGCGTGACACAAACGGCGTGACCCAAACGGCGTGACATAAGGCGTGACGCAAACGGCGTGACATAAGGCGTGACACAAACGGCGTGACATAAGGCGTGACACAAACGGCGTGACATAAGGCGTGACACAAACGGTGTGACACAAACGGCGTGACGCAAACGGCGTGACGCAAACGGCGTGACCCAAACGGCGTGACGTAAGGCGTGACACAAACGGTGTGACGCAAACGGCGTGACGCAAACGGCGTGACCCAAACGGCGTGACGTAAGGCGTGACACAAACGGCGTGACCCAAACGGCGTGACGTAAGGCGTGACACAAACGGCGTGACCCAAACGGCGTGACGTAAGGCGTGACACAAACGGCGTGACCCAAACGGCGTGACGTAAGGCGTGACACAAACGGCGTGACCCAAACGGCGTGACATAAGGCGTGACACAAACGGCGTGACATAAGGAGTTACACAAACGGCCTGACGCAGATGGCTTGACACAAACGGTGTGACCCAAACGGCGTGACATAAGGCATGACACAAACGGCCTGACGCAAACGGCGTGACACAAACGGCGTGACCCAAACGGCGTGAAATAAGGCGTGACACAAACGGCCTGACGCAAACAGTGTGACACAAACGGCATGACACAAACGGCGTGACCCAAACGGCGTGACTCAAACGGCCTGACGCAAACGGCGTGACACAAACGGCCTGACGCAAACGGCGTGACATAAGGCGTGACACAAACGGCGTGACTCAAACGGCCTGACACAAACGGCGTGACACAAACGGCCTGACGCAAACGGCGTGACATAAGGCGTGACACAAACAGCGTGACTCAAACGGCCTGACGCAAACGGCGTGACCCAAACGGCGTGACCTAAGACGTGACACAAACGGCGTGACGCAAATGGCTTGACGTAAGGCGTGACGCAAACGGTGTGACCCAAACGGCGTTACATAAGGCGTGACCCAAATGGCGTGATGCAAACAGCGTGACACAAACGGCGTGACACAAACAGCGTGACGCAAACGGCGTGACACCAACGGCGTGACATAAGGCGTGACACAAACGGCGTGACTCAAACGGCTTGACGTAAACATTCTGATGTAAACGGCGTAATGTAAACGTGACGTCAATGGCGTGACATGGTGTTGTCATAGAACCTTTTGCTAAAGCTAACAGCCGTCTCTGATTAAGTCGAACAGGTTTAGCCGGAGAACGTGTCGTAAACATGGAGGTCAAAGAAACTTCTCAGATGTTAAAACTTTAACTTCTGGATTTCTGCCAAAATAAAGTTATTAAAACTTTTTTCAACTGGAACCAAACATCAGAAATGATTAAACAATTTCCTGATTTAACAGCAAATGGTTTAATGTTGGTCTGCAGTCAAAGTTGAACTGGTTTTCTGGGTGGAGAACATTCCGCCCCCTAGTGGAGTGGCAGGTGAATCACGCCATAACCATTTTCACCAGTGTAGCGTGAACTCAGGGCGTGACGTAAACGCCGCCTGGACTGTTTCACCGGATCGCTGGCGTTCAGACAGAGTTTCATCTTCCCGGTGGTTCTCCACGCTGGCGGGTCATGAGGGAAACCTCATCATTGTTACATGTTGTTTATAGCGAATGCAGAGAGTCTGGAAGCTTCCAGTGTTTGCTGGGAGATTCGAACCAGTGAACGCATCATCACCATCTCCTTCTTTAGGAACATTAGAATCTGCTCTGGGAAATCCCAAACACCCACCAGCTCTGGATGACTTCCTCTCCTCTCCTCCACTGGATGCTCGGAGTCGGGTACCCGGAGGCGGAACATTCCAGCACAGCGTCCGTTCCCAGGAGAGCCGTTACTCTGGACGGACGCTGGAGGAACTGGAGGTTCCTGCTGAGCCCAGGTTCTGAAACAGAGAGAGGAGCAGATGGAGGTGAAGATGGGAAGGAGCGTAAAGGTAAAGATCACCTCACTACGCCAAACTTTTCCTTTTCCAGAAATAATCCTCAGAACGTCTACAATGCTGCAGGAAAAGGTTTAGATTTACAGGAATAAAAACTCTTTAAATGATTGTTTAGTAAATGTTGACGAGTCCACAATCTACAAATCTTTACTTCTGGTTTTGATGCCATGGATGAAACCAAAGGACTCCAGCAGCAACAGAAGGTTAAAGGTCACATGAGATGGAGATCTGGGTTAAAGGAAAATTCAGAGTTTTCTGAACCTGAAATCAGAGAAACTGAGTTTTCGGGTTTAGAAAGAGTTTCCTCATCCTGTTTCTGTTGCCATGGTAACATCCTCCCAGAGCTAACCTGGTCAGCAGCAGGTCTGTCTCTGCCAATCAGGCCGTTTTATTTCCTGATTCAGTCAGATTTCTATCGAATGTTTGTGCATAAAAAATAATAAATAATTTACTGGGTCCATCATTAGGTTTAAAAATGATTATTAAATGTCTGTTTAATTAACAGAGAATAAATATTTCTATGGGGAGGATTCTACAGCCCAGAGCAACAATGCTGCCATTAGGGCTGTATGATGATCTGTTCTCTCTTTGCAAAGATATGAATAAATGTGGCGACTGAGTGAAATCCATCAACCTCCGTTTATTTAACTAGGATGAATAGTTGAATACTTTTTTCTCACGACAGTGCCTCAGATGGACAGAGCTGCAATAACTAACCTCCCATAGAGCTAACTGGTACCCAACGGTTCTGGTTCTGGTACCGGTACAGGATCAGAGGAGCTTAGCTTGGTTAGTGTGCAGGAATGAAAGAGAAGTATCCATGGCAACCATGCGGTATGTTCTGCCAGCTGGACCGGGGCGGCCCGACCCGGTTCCACTGAAACATCTAGAATAAAACGGCAACAGAACCCTGGTTCCTTTGAATGTTTGAAGCTGGATCATCTGAACCGAACCGGATCATCTGAGTCGAACCGGATCATCAGAACCAAACCATCTGAACCGAACCAGATCATCAGAACCGAACCGGATCATCTGAACTGAACCGGATCATCTGAACTGAACCGGATCATCTGAACCGAACCGGATCATCAGAACCAAACCATCTGAACCGAACCAGATCATCAGAACCGAACCGGATCATCTGAACTGAACCGGATCATCTGAACTGAACCGGATCATCTGAACCGAACCGGATCATCAGAACCAAACCATCTGAAGCCAGTTTATCTGCATGTCTTTTAGAGTCAGACTCCAGGCTCCCAGTGGAGGATTACTGGGCTGCACGCTGGGCCCCATCGCCGTCGTGGCTCCGCCCCCTCCCAGTAACCGGCCCAGTATAAACCCTTTAAACCCAGCTGGCTCTGGGTGAGCTCCTTAATCCAGGGGTTTCTGCTCGCTGGAGGCTGAAACTTCAAGCTTTCATCTGAAAAATACGACCCGAGGACTCAGATGCACTTCTAGTAGATCTGGTTCTACCTCCCTGCCGTTTGGCCCCGGGGCCAGGAGCCCCGCAGCGAGGGCACGATGGGAGGTTTCCCAGGGCGCAGTGGATGGAGCGAGGAGTTGCCTCCCTGCTGTGTTTAAGGCCCAGAAAGTCAGGGGCCCCGGGCAGCCCTCATCAGGGGCCCCCACCCGTCTCTATGAAGTTTATTCAGGAGGTTCAAACAGGCTGAAGGTCAAAGGTTAACTTTTCTATAAACTCGCCGCTCTGCATTTAAAATCTAAACTATAAACAGACTGAAGGATTAATCCAACCACTTTTGTGTTTCATCACATTAAGTTACTTTAACGCAGTTATTTAATGTCCTGTGGGGCTAAGATTAAAAACAGCTGATTTAACTAAATATGATCCAGTAAAAACTGAACGCATCATCTGCTACCTTCAGGGAGAAAACCTTTTTAGATTCAATATGAAAATAAAAAAACACTCAATTTAACAAAACCAACAATTAAATACTTTGAAAACAAGAACAAATAAAAAGTTTCACAAAACATAAAGATTATTGAAAATGTAATAAATAAAGAAATCATTATTGCCTCAATTAAAACCTGAATAGAGTAAAAAAGAATAGATACAATAAAAAAACTGGAAAGGTAAAAAATAGAATGACGATATTTCCCTTCACAATAGAGTAGAATAAGAACAGAGGGAGGGAACAGAGGAAGGGAACAGAGGGAGGGAACAGAGGAAGGGAACAGGGAGGTAACAGATGAAGGGAACAGAGGAAGGGAACAGATGAAGGGAACAGAGGAAGGGAACAGAGGAAGGGAACAGATGAAGGGAACAGAGGAAGGGAACAGATGAAGGGAACAGAGGAAGGGAACAGGGAGGGAACAGGGAGGGAACAGATGAAGGGAACAGATGAAGGGAACAGAGGAAGGGAACAGGGAGGGAACAGATGAAGGGAACAGATGAAGGGAACAGAGGAAGGGAACAGAGGGAGGGAACAGATAAAGGGAACAGAGGGAGGGAACAGGGAGGTAACAGATGAAGGGAACAGAGGAAGGGAACAGATGAAGGGAACAGAGGAAGGGAACAGATGAAGGGAACAGAGGAAGGGAACAGGGAGGGAACAGATGAAGGGAACAGATGAAGGGAACAGAGGAAGGGAACAGAGGGAGGGAACAGATAAAGGGAACAGAGGGAGGGAACAGATAAAGGGAACAGATGAAGGGAACAGATGAAGGGACCAGAGGGAGGGAACAGATAAAGGGAACAGAGGAAGGGAACAGATGAAGGGAACAGAGGAAGGGAACAGATGAAGGGAACAGAGGAAGGGAACAGGGAGGGAACAGGGAGGGAACAGATGAAGGGAACAGAGGAAGGGAACAGAGGAAGGGAACAGATGAAGGGAACAGAGGAAGGGAACAGATGAAGGGAACAGAGGAAGGGAACAGGGAGGGAACAGGGAGGGAACAGATGAAGGGAACAGAGGAAGGGAACAGAGGAAGGGAACAGATGAAGGGAACAGAGGAAGGGAACAGAGGAAGGGAACAGAGGAAGGGAACAGATGAAGGGAACAGAGGAAGGGAACAGAGGAAGGGAACAGATGAAGGGAACAGATGAAGGGAACAGAGGAAGGGAACAGAGGAAGGGAACAGATGAAGGGAACAGAGGAAGGGAACAGATGAAGGGAACAGAGGAAGGGAACAGGGAGGGAACAGGGAGGGAACAGATGAAGGGAACAGATGAAGGGAACAGAGGAAGGGAACAGGGAGGGAACAGATGAAGGGAACAGATGAAGGGAACAGAGGAAGGGAACAGAGGGAGGGAACAGATAAAGGGAACAGAGGGAGGGAACAGGGAGGTAACAGATGAAGGGAACAGAGGAAGGGAACAGATGAAGGGAACAGAGGAAGGGAACAGGGAGGGAACAGATGAAGGGAACAGATGAAGGGAACAGAGGAAGGGAACAGAGGGAGGGAACAGATAAAGGGAACAGAGGGAGGGAACAGATAAAGGGAACAGATGAAGGGAACAGATGAAGGGACCAGAGGGAGGGAACAGATAAAGGGAACAGAGGAAGGGAACAGATGAAGGGAACAGAGGAAGGGAACAGAGGAAGGGAACAGGGAGGGAACAGATGAAGGGAACAGATGAAGGGAACAGATGAAGGGAACAGAGGGAGGGAACAGATAAAGGGAATAGAGGAAGGGAACAGATGAAGGGAACAGAGGAAGGGAACAGGGAGGGAACAGATGAAGGGAACAGAGGAAGGGAACAGAGGGAGGGAACAGATGAAGGGAACAGAGGAAGGGAACAGAGGGAGGGAACAGAGGGAGGGAACAGATAAAGGGAACAGATGAAGGGAACAGATGAAGGGAACAGATGAAGGGAACAGATGAAGGGAACAGAGGGAGGGAACAGAGGGAGGGAACAGATGAAGGGAACAGAGGAAGGGAACAGGGAGGGAACAGAGGAAGGGAACAGATGAAGGGAACAGAGGAAGGGAACAGGGAGGGAACAGATAAAGGGAACAGATGAAGGGAACAGATGAAGGGAACAGAGGAAGGGAACAGAGGGAGGGAACAGAGGAAGGGAACAGATGAAGGGAACAGAGGAAGGGAACAGGGAGGGAACAGATAAAGGGAACAGATGAAGGCAACAGAGGGAGGGAACAGAGGAAGGGAACAGAGGGAGGGAACATATAAAGGGAACAGAGGAAGGGAACAGAGGGAGGGAACAGATAAAGGGAACAGATGAAGGGAACAGAGGAAGGGAACAGATGAAGGGAACAGAGGGAGGGAACAGATAAAGGGAACAGATGAAGGGAACAGAGGAAGGGAACAGAGGGAGGGAACAGATAAAGGGAACAGATGAAGGGAACAGATGAAGGGAACAGAGGAAGGGAACAGAGGGAGGGAACAGATAAAGGGAACAGAGGAAGGGAACAGAGGGAGGGAACAGATAAAGGGAACAGAGGAAGGGAACAGATGAAGGGAACAGAGGAAGGGAACAGATGAAGGGAACAGAGGGAGGGAACAGAGGAAGGGAACAGAGGGAGGGAACAGATAAAGGGAACAGATGAAGGGAACAGAGGAAGGGAACAGAGGGAGGGAACAGAGGAAGGGAACAGAGGAAGGGAACAGAGGGAGGGAACAGAAGAAGGGAACAGAGGAAGGGAACAGAGGGAGGGAACATATAAAGGGAACAGATGAAGGGAACAGAGGAAGGGAACAGAGGGAGGGAACAGATAAAGGGAACAGATGAAGGGAACAGAGGAAGGGAACAGAGGGAGGGAACAGAGGAAGGGAACAGAGGGAGGGAACAGATAAAGGGAACAGATGAAGGGAACAGAGGAAGGGAACAGATGAAGGGAACAGAGGAAGGGAACAGAGGGAGGGAACATATAAAGGGAACAGATGAAGGGAACAGAGGAAGGGAACAGAGGGAGGGAACAGATAAAGGGAACAGATGAAGGGAACAGAGGAAGGGAACAGAGGGAGGGAACAGAGGAAGGGAACAGAGGGAGGGAACAGAGGGAGGGAACAGAGGAAGGGAACAGAGGAAGGGAACAGAGGGAGGGAACAGAGGAAGGGAACAGAGGAAGGGAACAGAGGGAGGGAACAGAGGAAGGGAACAGAGGGAGGGAACAGATAAAGGGAACAGAGGAAGGGAACAGAGGAAGGGAACAGAGGGAGGGAACAGAGGAAGGGAACAGAGGGAGGGAACAGATAAAGGGAACAGATGAAGGGAACAGATGAAGGGAACAGAGGAAGGGAACAGAGGGAGGGAACAGATAAAGGGAACAGATGAAGGGAACAGAGGGAGGGAACAGATAAAGGGAACAGATGAAGGGAACAGAGGAAGGGAACAGAGGAAGGGAACAGAGGGAGGGAACAGAGGGAGGGAACAGAGGAAGAGAACAGAGGGAGGGAACAGAGGGAGGGAACAGAGGGAGGGAACAGATGAAGGGAACAGATCAAGGGAACAGATGAAGGGAACAGAGGGAGGGAACAGAGGGAGGGAACAGATGAAGGGAACAGAGGAAGGGAACAGAGGAAGGGAACAGAGGAAGGGAACAGATGAAGGGAACAGAGGAAGGGAACAGGGGAAGGGAACAGATGAAGGGAACAGATGAAGGGAACAGATAAAGGGAACAGAGGAAGGGAACAGAGGAAGGGAACAGATGAAGGGAACAGAGGAAGGGAACAGAGGGAGAGAACAGAGGGAGGGAACAGATGAAGGGAACAGAGGAAGGGAACAGAGGAAGGGAACAGAGGGAGGGAACAGAGGGAGGGAACAGAGGGAGGGAACAGAGGAAGGGAACAGAGGGAGGGAACAGATAAAGGGAACAGATGAAGGGAACAGAGGAAGGGAACAGAGGGAGGGAACAGAGGAAGGGAACAGAGGAAGGGAACAGAGGGAGGGAACAGATAAAGGGAACAGATGAAGGGAACAGATGAAGGGAACAGATGAAGGGAACAGAGGGAGGGAACAGATAAAGGGAACAGATGAAGGGAACAGATGAAGGGAACAGAGGAAGGGAACAGAGGGAGGGAACAGAGGGAGGGAACAGATAAAGGGAACAGATGAAGGGAACAGATGAAGGGAACAGAGGAAGGGAACAGAGGGAGGGAACAGATGAAGGGAACAGATGAAGGGAACAGATGAAGGGAACAGAGGAAGGGAACAGAGGAAGGGAACAGAGGGAGGGAACAGATGAAGGGAACAGAGGAAGGGAACAGAGGGAGGGAACAGAGGGAGGGAACAGAGGAAGGGAACAGAGGGAGGGAACAGAGGAAGGGAACAGAGGGAGGGAACAGAGGGAGGGAACAGAGGAAGGGAACAGAGGAAGGGAACAGAGGGAGGGAACAGAGGAAGGGAACAGAGGAAGGGAACAGAGGGAGGGAACAGATAAAGGGAACAGATGAAGGGAACAGAGGAAGGGAACAGAGGAAGGGAACAGAGGGAGGGAACAGATGAAGGGAACAGATGAAGGGAACAGAGGAAGGGAACAGAGGGAGGGAACAGATAAAGGGAACAGATAAAGGGAACAGATGAAGGGAACAGAGGAAGGGAACAGAGGAAGGGAACAGAGGAAGGGAACAGATAAAGGGAACAGATAAAGGGAACAGATGAAGGGAACAGATGAAGGGAACAGAGGAAGGGAACAGAGGGAGGGAACAGAGGGAGGGAACAGATGAAGGGAACAGATGAAGGGAACAGAGGAAGGGAACAGAGGAAGGGAACAGATGAAGGGAACAGATGAAGGGAACAGAGGAAGGGAACAGAGGAAGGGAACAGATGAAGGGAACAGAGGAAGGGAACAGAGGAAGGGAACAGAGGAAGGGAACAGATGAAGGGAACAGATGAAGGGAACAGATGAAGGGAACAGAGGAAGGGAACAGAGGAAGGGAACAGATGAAGGGAACAGATGAAGGGAACAGAGGAAGGGAACAGAGGAAGGGAACAGAGGAAGGGAACAGCTGAAGGGCACAGTGGTTGTCTTGCTAATATTAATACAATTGTGAGTTCAGATGGAAACATTGATAAAAGATGTAATGGAGATCAGGAAGGGCTTTAAGATCTGAACTGGTTTCCAGTAATGGAGGACGTTTCAGTCCGCTGGTCCAACTGGGATTCTTGATGAAGGACTTTGGGGATCTAAAGAAAAATAATTGCTCCACAAGAACAGAGAAGCTTTCAGGAAGCAAGGTGCATAAAGCTGTTTTCTATTAATAATCTGGAGGCGAAGGATCTTTACTATTTTTCCTCGTTTCCAAACCTGGAAAGTAGCAAAGATCTTTCTGGTCATTTGAAGAAGTGGTTGTTAGCAGGAAATCTGTGGTTGAAGCACCGGCTGATGATAGGTTACATCAAATGATTATCTAAAGCTGGAGAAAGAAGCTTAGCCACAGCGCTCTATATCTGGAGCCCAACAAAAGACTTTTATGACTCTGCAGCTGCTGGAAGCTGTCGAGGAACAACGGCTGACGGCTTTAATCACAGCTTAACGCTGTTTCTATGCAGGTCTAAGAAGCTCCTGACGTCCCGCAGACGCCTCAGCCAACGCCGCCGTCACCAGTCAGCTACCCAGTGAGACCAGTGAGTAAATCAGCACATTTCCAGAGAGGAAGGAGCTGCAGAAACCAAAGATGATTCAGATGATTCAGATGATTCAGATCATTCAGATGATTCAGATGATTCAGATGATTCAGATCATTCAGTTGATTCAGATGATTCAGATGATTCAGATCATTCAGATCATTCAGTTGATTCAGATGATTCAGATGATTCAGATCATTCAGATCATTCAGATGATTCAGATGATTCAGATGATTCAGATGATTCAGATGATTCAGATGATTCAGATGGTTCAGATGATTCAGATGATTCAGATGATTCAGATGATTCAGATGATTCAGATGATTCAGATGATTCAGATGGTTCAGATGATTCAGATGATTCAGATGATTCAGATGGTTCAGATGATTCAGATGATTCAGATGATTCAGATGATTCAGATGATTCAGATGGTTCAGATGATTCAGATGATTCAGATGATTCAGATGATTCAGATGATTCAGATGATTCAGATGATTCAGATGGTTCAGATGATTCAGATGATTCAGATGATTCAGAGCTCCATCTGTGAGGCGCTGACTGCTGCAGCAGGAGGATAGAAATGGAAACGCATCAGAGCGTTTCTGCCAATAAAACAAGAGGAGACACCTGCTCCATGACAGCAGCCTGAGAAGCAGCACCTGGAAGAACATCAGAGGTTCATCCTAAAATAAAAAGCTTCAGGTCCATCAGGAACCCGCTGTCCACCGTCAGGGCCAGTGGGACGGTCAGAGAGAGACTGGGGACCTACTGGGAAACTGGTTCAACCAGCTAACGGTTCTCTGGTGGAAGGACAGCTCCAGCCTGCTATCCGAGGTTCTGATTAGACCCTGAGACCCGAACCTGGATCTGAAGGAGCTGCTCTTCTTCCTCAGTGACCAGCTGAAGCCAGCATTGACCCGTCTGGGTGCTCCCAGTTCCTCCCAGTTCCCCCACTGGGAACCACTGCAGGAGAACCTCCTAGGTCCAGCTCAGGGAGGAGGACGTGGGCCAGCAGAAAATCTCAGACTGGCTGAGCTTTGGTGACTCAGCACTGAGTCACAGAACCGCAGCAGAACAGGAGGAGTCTGGTGGAACCAGTGGACCTCTCTGGACCCGTCCAGGTGGGGATAAAGTTCCCAGCAGGTTCCTTACCTGGGAGAACTCGGAGTTCAGCGTCCGTACCGGTCCTGGTGCTGCCGGGGTTATCGGCCAGGCAGCGGTAAGTGGCCGAGTCCGGCGGCTGGACCCGGCTGACCTGCAGAGAGCCGGACGGCAGCACCGCCAGCCGGGATTCGAGTTGGAAGTTCAGCGGCAGGTCGTCTCGGTTCTTCTGCCAGCGTATGACGGGGGTGGGGTCGCCTGAGACCTCGCAGCGCAGCAGGGCGGTGTCGCCGATGAACGAGGAGACCGAGTCAGTGGGAACAATCACCCTGAGCGGGCCTGAAAACACAACCAACAGAAGAAGAAAAGGTCACCTGGTCAGATGATGAGATGATTCTGGAGCGACTGCTTGGTTGGAAGGAAAACCTGGCGCCACACGGCTGAGACTCCTGCTCCGAACACAGATTGATCCAGTTCCATTCAAGAAATAAACCCATAATGTCATTGTGGTCACAACAGGCTATGGCAAGCCATTTGTTATTTATTATTTTACTGAATATATATTTCTGATATCTGCAATAACTTTTTATTTTAAATAAAACGACATTCTTCATATCTAGAATAAACATTCTGCCTTTGCCCGCCTGGTTCCAGTCCTTCCTGCAGGAACCGCAGGAGTCCAGGCAGAACCAGCTGATCCCAGAGCTGCATTTCTAACCAACATCGATTCACCAGGAGAACGAGGAGCTCAGCATGGAGCACCAGGTCTGGAGGAGGAAACACGGAGAGACGAGGAGGAGCAGGAGCACTTCCATCTGACAGCGACAGGAGGCTCCTCCTCTCCTCCAGGAGGATGTGGAGGACTTTAACAGAAGCTGGTCATTTTCTCCTCCATGTTGCTCTGAGACGCGGCGCCCAATGAAATGATGGAATCAGATCAAATGGAAAGCGAGCAGCAGGCCTCGCCACGTTCAGACTGTGTTTAATGGGAAAATGAAATCTGACAGGTTGTTTCAGCCTGACAGCCAAACGCTGCAGCTTCTCTGAAGCAAAGCATTCTGGGAAAATGTCACGACTGTTAGGAAGCAGCAGAAACACCATGAAGAGGAGTTCAGTGTTTTCTGCTCATTGTTCTCCTAAATCATTTATCATTCCTTTAGGCTGCCGACCAATCAGCTTCCTCCGCCTCCCTCTGACTGACACTTAACAACACACCCCCCCTCTCTGTCCAGGGTGGACCCCTCCTCTCTGTCCAGGGTGGACCCCCCCTCTCTGTCCAGGGTGGACCCCTCCTCTCTGTCCAGGGTGGACCCCCCCTCTCTGTCCAGGGTGGACCCCCCCTCTCTGTCCAGGGTGGACCCCTCCTCTCTGTCCAGGGTGGACCCCTCCTCTCTGTCCAGGGTGGACCCCCCCTCTCTGTCCAGGGTGGACCCCTCCCCCTCTCTGTCCAGGGTGGATCCCTCCTCTCTGTCCAGGGTGGACCCCCCCCTCTCTGTCCAGGGTGGACCCCTCCTCTCTGTCCAGGGTGGACCCCCCCTCTCTGTCCAGGGTGGACCCCTCCTCTCTGTCCAGGGTGGACCCCTCCCCCTCTCTGTCCAGGGTGGACCCCCCCCTCTCTGTCCAGGGTGGACCCCCTCCTCTCTGTCCAGGGTGGACCCCTCCTCTCTGTCCAGGGTGGACCCCCCCTCTCTGTCCAGGGTGGACCCCTCCCCCTCTCTGTCCAGGGTGGATCCCTCCTCTCTGTCCAGGGTGGACCCCCCCTCTCTGTCCAGGGTGGACCCCCCCTCTCTGTCCAGGGTGGATCCCTCCTCTCTGTCCAGGGTGGACCCCTCCTCTCTGTCCAGGGTGGACCCCCCCTCTCTGTCCAGGGTGGATCCCTCCTCTCTGTCCAGGGTGGACCCCTCCTCTCTGTCCAGGGTGGACCCCTCCTCTCTGTCCAGGGTGGACCCCCCCTCTCTGTCCAGGGTGGATCCCTCCTCTCTGTCCAGGGTGGACCCCCCCTCTCTGTCCAGGGTGGACCCCTCCTCTCTGTCCAGGGTGGACCCCTCCTCTCTGTCCAGGGTGGACCCCTCCTCCTCTCTGTCCAGGGTGGACCCCCCCTCTCTGTCCAGGGTGGACCCCCCCTCTCTGTCCAGGGTGGACCCCTCCTCTCCTGGAGATAGACCCCAGCACCCCCTCACCACCCGAGGGATAAAGTTGAGGGAAAATGAATGGAGGGATAAAATGATTTAATGTTTTATTGAATTTTGACACTCATTTCCCTCCATACTCCCCCCCCCCCCCCACGCACACATTCTATTTAAAAAATTGAAAATTTAAAAAAATGTTGCTTTAAAAAAATCAAAGCTCATTTATTATTCCAGCTCCTTTTCTTACTTAGTGAAGAAAAATGAAAATGATGGAATAATGGAAGATGGGGGGGGGGGTTAATGTCTTTGATGTAACAGACGGCGTCGGTGTTTTAGGTTCTGATCAAACAGTGATGCTGAATTAATGAAACATCGGCTCCACTTCAAACCTCCTTTACGTCACATTTCTACTGAACTAAACGTCTTCATAACTAGGAGCTAACTAGCATCTCTGATTCGCTGATCCATCGCTAAAGATGATAAAACTTTACATAGTTTCATGTATTTGATCATTTTTAGAAATAACTTTTATGTTATTTAGTAACAGATCATGAATTCAAAGATCTGCGGTCTAGATAGGTTCTCAGGTTCTCAGATACCCCCCCCCCCTGCATCAGATAATGCGTTTAAATCTACGGGAACCATCATAACCGCGATAAACAGCCAAATGTTTCCTAAAGCTGGATTTCAAGTCATTACAGAAAGAGAAGATGAAGCTGCTTCCTCAAAACAATGAAAGCAGTTTCAGGTCAGACACTGAATCTGTCGGACCTGACCTGGACAGTGAAACCGGAGCAAAGCCTGAAGACGCCTGCATGCAGGTCCTCCGCAGCCTCAGCTTCTCTGACATCATCACATATCTGAGGCGACGGCGACGCTGCTGTGAATGAGCCTGATGTTCAGCTGCTGTCTGCTCCTGTTTGGATCACAGAACCGCCTGCAGCTGCAGAACCAGAGTTAGCTCTGTGGTCCCTCAGCTATGTAGCTAATCCAGCTTCCTGTGCTCATTTCATCCCACCCTCTGAAAGGCCAACGATGTCTTCTCCATCTTCCTTACCGACTCAGAGTAACCGTGGTAACCAACCCAGCAGGCAGGAAGCTTTTACCGTGGGACCATCAGGATTTCCTTTCTCCTATTCTAGATCCTCAGAGTCAGCTGCTAATTAGGATCTGGTGATACGCTGGTCTTTGCAGGAACAAGGCTCAGGTTATCCTGAGCTATCTCTATAGTTCTGCTGCTATAGGCTTAGACTGCTGGAGGACATAGGGACCCCTTTTTCATCATTCTGCTTCATTCTATCTCTATTCTCCCACTCTGCAGAATCTGTTAGTTCAATCTCTAACGTTCTGCTCTCTCTGCTTTTTCTCATAGTAGCTTCATCTGGTCTGTTCCTGTTTGGCTGTGACTCCATCCTGGAGAGAAATATCAGCTGTGCTGCTGCCATCAACACCTTTGTTTCTAGATGTTGGAGCTTGGCCTGTTTTCCAGTGTAGTCCTGTTTCTCTGACTGTGACTAACTGGATGTGCTCTCTTCATCCTCTGACATGGGAGCTGGCTCGGAGCTCGTCTGCCTGGCTGTGTGTTTCCTGGACGGGGCCGCCTGTGGAGCTGGTTGACAGTTGCCTTTTGTATCTATGCTTCTTTTTCTATGTCTGCTTCTGTCTCCTTGAACCCCAGTGGGCCTCAGCAGATGGCCGCTCACACTGAGCCTGGTTCTGCTGGAGGTTTCTTCCTGTTCAAAGGGAGTTTTTCCTCTCCACTGTCGCTACAAGCATGCTTAGTGTGAGGGATTGCTGAAGAGTCAATGAGTCGATGCAATCAGCTGGTTTTCCTTAGATAGAAAACTTTGAATCAATCTGACTGGATGATCTGGTTGATTTGTTTCTATAAAGTGACCTGAGATGAGGTGATGATGATGATGATGATTTTTAATGAAATTCAAACATAGAATAACTTCTCAACTAAAGTCATTAAAATGTTTTTTAACAGTTTAGTGTTTAAAGTTAAAGTTTTGATGTGAATCTTCTGGCAGAGCGTCGCTACTAGAAGCTTTAATTCTGCTCCGTTAGAACCGTGTGTTCTAGATCTGTAACTGAGGAGTCGCCGTGGAAACCGAGCGCTTTGAATCAAAGGCGTAGAAAAGATGCTTAGATGAGCAGATTAAATGCAGCTCTGCCGTTATCACAGGTTACAGCAGGTGTTCTAGAATCAGCAGATCCCAGCAGCGCAGAACAAACGCTGTAAACGTTTATAAAGTTAGTCTGAAGCCGTTAATCCAGCAGAAACAATCAGATTATCTGCTGCAAACTGTAGAACCTAAAGGTTCTTCTAGAACTGGGCTCAGTCTACGGGTCTTTGGGTTCAGGACTCGGGTCAGTCTTGGACCACCTCCTCCCTGACACGGCTGGCCCTCCGATGGAACCAACATCTGATTCAGGTTTAATCCCAGTCTGGTTAAATCCAGGGGATTATCTCTGGTGGCTTTAGTGTGGAAACAAAGGATGTACGGTTAAAGATGAGGACCTTTAAGATTAGATGAACATTATAGATTATATTAAAATACACGCTGTAATAACCCAACGCTCTAAACTCTCATTTTCCAGGATTACCAGCTGCCGTGTTGGTAGCGCTCAGCGACAGGCGCGGCGCCGTGTCGGACACGCCAAGCCCGTGTTCTCCTCAGGCCAGGTGAACTAGCAGGGAGCAGATTATGTTGCTGCTAGTTGAGACCAAAGCTGTGAACTTCCATCCAGCTGCTGCTGAAGCACTTAAGCCTCCTGCTGTATTAATGTGCTCCATAAACTGTATTGATCTGAAGCCACGGAGCACTTTGGAAATGACATTACAGGTGACTCCATTAAATGGATGCGAGCAGAGAGGCAGAATGTTAAACCGCTCCGACGCGGCGGCAGAACCGCCAAGGGCGGGTCAAGGTGTGGTCCAACGCCGCCCTACAGCTCAGCCGCTGCCAGCTAAGATGAGCTAGCGTCCAATAGCAGGACAGGAGTCTTACCGGCCACGGTGACCCTGGCGGTCCGACTCACGATGCTCCCCAGTCCTTCCAGTGTGGCCAGGCACTGGTACTGTCCTTCATCCGGCCGGTGGTGCCGTGAGTGGACCACGTTCTGGACCATCAGCGTTCCGTTTTCCAGCTGTGTTCGCCTCTCGTCCACCACCGTGCTCAGCAGCACTCCGTCTTTACGCCACTTGATGGACGGAGGTCCCGCCGCCGCGTCCGTTTGGGCCTGGCAGTCCAGCTGCAGCACGCCGCCTCGCACCGTTACCGTGTCCTGAGGCTCCAGGCTGAAGCTGAAGTCCACAAAGTTCGGACTCGATGATGACAGGGAGGAAGAGGACGAAGCATCTGAGGCTGTGGACAGAGCAGGAGAAAAAGACAGACGTTAGAAGACAGCCGCAGGCAGAGATCAACGCATCCTGATGAAGACAAGCTCAACTGGACCAGAACCGACCAGGTGCTGTTCACCACCCTGGACCGGTTCAATGTTCTCCATCAGAACCAGTTCTGATCTGTTCCTCACATTTATCTGCCGTCCACAGCAGCTGGACAGACTGCAGGAGACTGTGGACGGAACTCTGTTAAAACTGCTAACCCTGCTAAAGATGCTAACCCTGCTAAAGATGCTAACCCTTCTAACCCTGCTAACTCTGTTAAAGCTGCTAACTCTGTTAACCCTGTTAAAGATGCTAACCCTGCTAACCCTGTTAAAGATGCTAACCCTGCTAACCCTGTTAAAGATGCTAACCCTGCTAACCCTGTTAAAGATGCTAACACTGCTAACCCTGTTAAAGCTGGCAACACTGCTAACCTTGCTAAAGATGCTAACTCTGCTACCTCTGCTAACATTGCTAATGCTAACCCAGGATTTCTGGCTTTAATCTTCCAGCTCTTCAGTTTTTAGTTTAGTTTCACTGAAGCACATCTAAACCATAACCCTAAACACTACATGAATCAATGCGTGTACCTGATGTATAAAATGCCCATACCTCATGACTCCAGGCTTATTTTGGCTCTTTCTGAATTTAATCCGTTAAATCAGGAGATCCGATGGTTCTGCGCCCTTTCACCTGAGAGAGCAGGCATCCCTGGAGGGAGCCTTCAGCCAACAACCAAACAACCTGGAGACCATCCAGGACCTGAGACCTTCCAGGACCTGAGGCCTTCCAGGACCTGAGACCTTCCAGGACCTGAGGCCTTCCAGGACCTGATGCTTTCCAGGACCCGAGACCTTCCAGGACCCGAGGCCTTCCAGGACCTGATGCTTTCCAGGACCCGAGACCTTCCAGGACCCGAGACCTTCCAGGACCTGAGGCCTTCCAGGACCTGAGACTTTCCAGGACCTGAGACCTTCCAGGACCTGAGGCCTTCCAGGACCTGAGACCTTCCAGGACCTGAGACCTTCCAGGACCTGAGGCCTTCCAGGACCTGAGACCTTCCAGGACCTGAGACCTTCCAGGACCTGAGACCTTCCAGGACCTGAGGCCTTCCAGGACCTGAGACCTTCCAAATGAACGTTTTGTTGAACAGTTCTTCCTGTTGGCCTTGAAGACCACCATGGCCGCCAATCCAACGCCTCTTCCTGTCTTTGATCAGCTCCACTGTTTCCTGCAGCAGATTGAGGATCAGAACCTTGAAATGCTGAATCCTGGAACCTTCTGAGGTGGACCTGCCCTCCAGCAGGACCCGCCATCCTCTGCTGGCTAACTCCTCCTTCCTGTCTTTGCTTTCATTGTTCGTGTCCTTCATGCGGCGGAGGATCCGGCGCCGTCATCTCTGCAGGCCTTTGATGGCGCTGCAGCTAAAAGGCTTTCATGGAGATCAGAGAGGCGGTTTGTTCAGTCAGAGCCTCGTTCAGCTTCTGCCTGAAGGAACGATGTGGAACGACTGGAGGAGGAGCAGCCCTGATGTTGGGTTCAGGAACCTCAGAGAAAGTCTGGATGTTTTCCACCTGCTTCCTTCCTTTATTCCAGGATTCATTTAAATGTGAATGAATCAGGATTATTAGCAGTTTTTGACATTTTCTACAAAATGTTTCTTTGAAATTATCGATTGCTCTTTGATCTTAAATGCTTTTTAAAAAAATTTCCTTTTAAAAAAAAAAAATTATAATAAAAATAAAACAAAAAGTTTTCCTACCCTCTGATATTTTCCCAATTTCACCCATAAATGTTCTTTTCTTTATCTGCCTCAGACTGGATAGAGATGAGCGTCTGTTCTCACTTGGTTTTATATCTGGACTTTGACTAGGCCACTGTCAGCCCGTCTCACTGGTGAACCTCCAGGTGTTCAGCCTAACACCGATGATGCCTTCAGGGACATCATTAATGCGTCACAGCGGCCTAGTCAAAGCAAAGCTGGGCCGTGGGAGGACAGCAGAGGCTGAGCTGAGGGTTAGGCCCCGTGTTGTTCGGGGCGTCGCAGTAGGCGGGGCCCTGGAAGCAGGCGGGGCCTTCAGGGAAGGAAGGATCAAACCCAGGAGAGCGACACTGAAAGGCTTCCCAGTGAAACAAAGCCTCCGTATAAATCACTTCAACATGGCCGACCACAGGTGACTGGCCCCCAACTCGCTCGTCCCAGACTCCTCCGCTCGCTCTTCATCCCTCCTCCTCCCTTTTCCTTCATGGTTTCCTCCTTATTGATCCCCCCCCATCAGTAAATCAGTGTCCTGACAGCTCAATCTTTATTCACCCCCCCACCCCCCCCCGGCAGCCTGCCCTCGTTCGCTTCATCCATTTGATGCTATCGCTCTCTGCCCGCCATCTTTCTAGAGCGAATAAAAACTGTTTAGGAACCTGAGCTGCTGGATTTCTGGTTTCATTTTTATGACGAAAACATGGCAGCTATTCATCTCAGTCTGAGGACGGCTCCTAATCATCACAGAAAAAAACCCAGTGAAGATGTTATAAAGTCAAATGAGGAACTTCCTTCCTAAATGACGATCTTTTCGATAAATCTGACGTTTGGTTATTTTTCTGTAACGTTCTTAACTTCTGATCCTGAGCTCTCGCTGTGAACACACCTCTAGGCACAGAGACCGGCCCAGGAAGGGGGTGAGTTGCCCTTTAATTATCTAGCACTAGTGTTAGCATGCTATACCCACAGATAGCTGCTTTCCTTTAACTTATATAGATTTATACCCTTATCCAGTTTGTTATATAAGCAGTAGCATGCTAGCTGGGCTGTCAGCCTACTAACATGGACCTCCAGCACTAAAGGTCTGATCGGGGCCCGCCCCTTCTTATGACATCATAATATGGCAACTCCACTCGGACAAACTTTATTGCTCCTGTTTCTTAAGAATCAAATCTCTTCTCAACATATTATTCCCTTTATTTGCTATTATTTAACGTTTCATCTGTGATCTAAAGCAGCAGAAAGTAGAAAACAATCATTGTCGGTTTTGAAGGAAAGTCCTGCTTTCTGCTAGTTAACAAGGAGACACTAAAAGCCTCAGCTTATCTTTATTATTTTTATTAAGATGTGAAAAAATTGGAACGTGTTAATAAATGACCATCGAGATTTTAGACAAATAAAACAACAGCTATTAGAAAACGAACGGTTGTTTATATGAAGTTAAAAGTAGTGTAGCTTAATCAGGCTAACTGAGCGAGCTAAAAGAGGCTAACCTGTTAGCTACAGCTAGCCACAGCTAAAAGAGACTAACCTGTTAGCTACAGCTAGCCACAGCTAAAAGAGGCTAACCTGTTAGCTACAGCTAACCACAACTAAAAGAGGCTAACCTGTTAGCTACAGCTAGCCACAGCTAAAAGAGACTAACCTGTTAGCTACAGCTAGCCACAGCTAAAAGAGGCTAACCTGTTAGCTACAGCTAGCCACAACTAAAAGAGGCTAACCTGTTAGCTACATCTAGCCACAGCTAAAAGAGGCGCTAACCTGTTAGCTACAGGTAGCCACAGCTAAAAGAGGCGCTAACCTGTTAGCTACAGCTAGCCACAGCCAAAAGAGGTGCTAACCTGTTAGCTACAGCTAGCCACAGCTAAAAGAGGCTAACCTGTTAGCTACATCTAGCCACAACTAAAAGAGGCGCTAACCTGTTAGCTACAGCTAGCCACAGCTAAAAGAGGCTAACCTGTTAGCTACATCTAGCCACAGCTAAAAGAGGCGCTAACCTGTTAGCTACAGCTAGCCACAGCTAAAAGAGGCGCTAACCTGTTAGCTACAGCTAGCCACAGCCAAAAGAGGTGCTAACCTGTTAGCTACAGGTAGCCACAGCTAAAAGAGGTGCTAACCTGTTAGCTACAGCTAGCCACAGCCAAAAGAGGCGCTAACCTGTTAGCCACAGCTAGCCACAGCTACAAGAGGCTAACCTGTTAGCTATAGCTAGCCACAGCTAAAAGAGGCTAACCTGTTAGCTACATCTAGCCACAGCTAAAAGAGGCTAACCTGTTAGCTACAGCTAGCCACAGCTAAAAGAGGCTAACCTGTTAGCTACATCTAGCCACAGCTAAAAGAGGCTAACCTGTTAGCTACAGCTAGCCACAGCTAAAAGAGGCTAACCTGTTAGCTACATCTAGCCACAGCTAAAAGAGGCTAACCTGTTAGCTACAGCTAGCCACAGCTAAAAGAGGCTAACCTGTTAGCTACATCTAGCCACAGCTAAAAGAGGCTAACCTGTTAGCTACAGCTAGCCACAGCTAAAAGAGGCTAACCTGTTAGCTACATCTAGCCACAGCTAAAAGAGGCACTAACCTGTTAGCTACAGCTAGCCACAGCTAAAAGAGGCGCTAACCTGTTAGCTACAGCTAGCCACAGCCAAAAGAGGCGCTAACCTGTTAGCTACAGGTAGCCACAGCTAAAAGAGGTGCTAACCTGTTAGCTACAGCTAGCCACAGCCAAAAGAGGCGCTAACCTGTTAGCCACAGCTAGCCACAGCTACAAGAGGCTAACCTGTTAGCTACAGCTAGCCACAGCTAAAAGAGGCTAACCTGTTAGCTACATCTAGCCACAGCTAAAAGAGGCTAACCTGTTAGCTACAGCTAGCCACAGCTAAAAGAGGCTAACCTGTTAGCTACATCTAGCCACAGCTAAAAGAGGCTAACCTGTTAGCCACAGCTAGCCACAGCTAAAAGAGGCTAACCTGTTAGCCACAGCGCTACCCAGCTGTTTATATCACGGTTCAACAGTTACTTTGTTCCAGAAACAGATTTTTTCAGTTTTGTTTTCAATCAGGTCAAACTTTATCGGTCATTAGACACGCTAACGCTACAGATGCTCCCGACTCGACACACGGACGCTGTGTGATGTTATTATCGTTGTCTGGGCAACCAAGATGTTTTCCACCATGTGGCAACGTTCAGCCAATCGTAGCGTAGCGTCACGGCAGGAAGCTG